GAGCTCGGGACCCGATTGCCCTGAGCAGCCAGGTCTCCATGTTGGAGCTGTAGGAGCTGGTGAGGGTGTTGTGCTGGGTGTATGTCACCCTGAAGGGGCATTCGGGTTCCCTCCTCCATCTCTCAGGATTTGTAGTCTTCCTCAGAGGCCCTGGCTTGGGAACAAAGGAATCCAGGCCCCTATTGACGCTCAGGTGACTGACAGCAGAAGGGGCCCTGCCACTGGCCTGGGAGCTACTGTCCTGTGTGTCCTGCTCATTTGAGCCTATGGGGCTGCCCCTGGGCTTGAATGCCCTCTCATTGCTGCTTGTAGGGCCCCTCTCCTCTGGGGCGCGGCCTGATACTGCCCTCTGCTGAACCCAAGCCAGGGGCCGGGCCAGCGGGGCCCATAGATAATGCAGCAACTTCCACAGGGCCTGCTGCAGACCCTGCTGCAGCGCTTGGGGCACTGCTGCAAGGAGTGCCAGGCATCCCCTGGCAGCAGCCATCCTGAGCAACGCAAGGCCTGCCTCTCCAGGTCCAGCGGGTGCGGCCTGGGGCGGCAGCAGCTGCTTCCTCTGAGGACCACCTCAGAGGAGAAGGTTGGAAATGAGCCCATTGAGGGCTGAGCCCTCAGAAAGCAAGAGGCTCCCGGCCTTGTGGGGTGGGAGCCCCTGCCGCTGGCGGCGGGGGAAGCCTCTGAGAGCTTCCCCCGCCCGCCTGTGGACTCAGTTCAGAGAGCAGATAGGTCTGGGGAGCAGGGTACTGGGTGTGGGGAGTAGGGTACTGGGTGTGGGGAGTAGGGTACTGGGTGTGGGGTTGATTGGTCCGAGGGGCTGGGCCCCTACCGGGGTCAAGCTGCACTGAATGCCGGGGTTCCTTCCTTGGTCCTGAAGGTGCACGGCGGCGCTCAGTGTGGGGGGTGCGTTCGACGCTCTTGGGAGCTCCGAGACGTTTCCGTTGGAGTGTTGAGGGCGGCGCGAGCACGGAGCGAGGCGGGTGGGCCGCGGGGCAGAGCTGGCGCGCCTGGGGCGCGTGGGGAACCCGCTGCCGCCCGTGGTCGTGACAGCGAAGGGCCCTGGCTGCTGTGGGGCGCTGGCGGCTTGACGTGGTGGACAGGGGCGGCCGCGCCTTCCCCTCAGGCCAGGGTTCCCCACTGAGATCCAGAGCACAGAACTGCTTCTCTCTGTGCCTTGGCCCTTGACTGCACCCTGCATTTCGCCAAGTGACATGGGGACCTTGCTCCAGCCCTCCTGGCCTGCAGCGAGCTGGGCTTCACCCTGTCTCCTGCCCTGGCACCTGCCCATGCAGCCCCACTCCTGGGGATTCAAAGGCCTTTGGAGGACCAAGGCAGACCTCATGCTTTCTACCCCTTCCGCTTCCGGCTTCATTCTCTGCTTCCTGTCCACTGGGTCCATTGTGTGCTTTCCCGCGGGGAGGCCTCCCAGAGCTGTGGAAACCAGGGAGGGCATCCTCAGGCCAGGTTTCTTGCGTGCAGGCATGGGATGCAGGCAAGAGAGCAGTGAGCCTAGCTTCCTCATTCAGCTCAGTGCTTTCCACACTGCCTTGGGCACTGGGCAATGTGCTTCCTGGGTAGCTGCTAGGAGTCCCAGGACCGGCCAGAGAAGCAGCAGTGGTGTGGCCAGCCCATGTCTGCTCTTCTGCTCCTGGAATTCTGGCTGCAAGCAGAGGAGCTGGGTATTCTGCCTGGGACAGGGTGGACCAAGCAGGCCTTCAGGCTGAGGGAAGGGAAGGCAGCTCCTTGGGCCGCAGCAAGAGGACCACCAAGTAAAGTCCTTCTCTGTGGCTCTTTCCCACTTGGGACTGAGAAGCATTTCACTTGTAGAACAACAAAGAAGTGCCAGAAGCTTGCTGTGGGATAGCTGATTGAACACTCCTATTCACACACACTTACACACTCAATTGTGATGTTACTGTTGTAATGTTTTTTTTTTAAAGATTTATTTTTATTATTTTTTTATTGGAAAGTCAGATGCACAGAGAGGAGAGACAGAGAGGAAGATCTGCCATCCGATGATTCACTGCCCAAGTGAGCGCAATGGCCGATGCTATGCCGATCCGAAGCCAGGAGCCTCTTCAGGGTCTCCCACACGGGTGCAGGGTCCCAAAGCTTTGGGCCGTCCTCGACTGCTTTCCCAGGCCACAGGCAGGGAGCTGGAAGGGAAGCGGGGCTGCCGGGATTAGAACCGTGCCCATATGTGATCCCGGGCGTGCAAGGCAAGGACCTTAACCACTGCGCCACCGAGCCGGGCCCCACCAGCCCAATTTTATAAAAATATTTCACGAGGTCTAAAAAAAAAAAAAAGAGAGAGAGAGAAAAACATGTACAATTACCACATGCGCTGGCAGAACAATAAAATGCATTGAGTAGAAGCAGCATTTCTTTTTTAAAGATTTATTTATTTTTTGGAAAGTCAGATATACAGAGAGGAGGAGAGACAGAGAGGAAGATATTCTGTCCCATGATTCACTCCCCTAGTGAGCGCAATGGCTGATGCTATGCTGATCCGAAGCCAGGAGCCAGGAACTTCTTCTGGGTCTCCCACATGATGCAGGGTCCCAAAGCCTTGGGCTGTCCTCAACTGCTTTCCCAGGCCACAGGCAGGGAGCTGGATAGGAAGTGGAGTTGCCTGGATTAGAACCGGCGCCCATATGGGATCCTGGGGCGTTCAAGGCGAAGACTTTAGCCGCTAGGCCACGCCGTCAGGCCCATAATCATTATTTTCATGCCTCTTAGTATGTTCTCTTTTCTATTTCGCTGGCTGATACCTGAAAAAAAAAAAGTAGTGACTGAATAGCAGGATCCTCATTGCAGTCTTGGCTTTCATGGAATGCCAGCAGTGGCTCTAGCTTTCAGCTGGGATTCAGGTGGCTTATGTTCAGAAATATTTAATCATCCTCATCAAAAACAGAAAGTAAATAAAATATAAGATTTTGGTGGGGAGGGGGAGAAAACCATGGGTGGTAGACATCTAACTTGATTTCATTCTACTTAAATAGGCAGTTTTCTGAGCACCACTTATTGAACAGTCTGTTCTTATTTTTTAAAAGATCTATTTTTGAAGTCAAAGAGAGGAAGAGAAAAGAGAGGATTCCTTCATTCATTGGTTTGCTCCCTGGATGGCTGCAGTGGCCAGCTCTGGGCCAACCCAGGGCCAACCCAGAGCCAGGAGCTTCATCCAGGTCCCCCATCTACATGGCAGGGACCCAAACACTTGGGCCATCTTCCACCCCTTTTTCCAGGCCATTAGCAGAAAGCTGGATTGGAAATAGAGCAGCCAGGACACTAACCAGTGCCGACTTGAGATGCCAGTGTTATAGGTGGCAACTTTATCTGCTTTACCACACATTGTCCCATTGTCCTCATTTTTAAAAAAGATTTATTTACACAGGCTGGCACTGTGTCTGCACAGGCTAATCCTCCACTTTGTGGTGGCAGCATCACATATGGGCCCCAGTTGATGTTCCGGCTGCTCCACTTCCAATCTGGCTCTCTGCTTGTGAGGGAAAAGCAGTGGAGGATGGCCCAAGTTTTTGGGACCCTGCACCTGCGAGAGAGACCAGAAGAAGCTACTGGTTCCTGGCTTCAGATCAGCTCAGCTCTGGTCTTTGCAGCCACGTGGGTAGTGAACCAGCAGATGGAAGACCTTCTTCCTCTTGCCTCTTTTTCTCTATAAATCTGCCTTTTCAATGAAAATAAATAAATCTTAAGAAAGGAAGGGAGGAGTCATGGCGTGCTGGCCTAGCATCTAAAGTCCTCGCCTTGAATGCGTAAGGATCCCATATGGCACTGGTTCTAATCCTGGCAACCCTGCTTCCCATCCAGCTTCGTGCTTGTGGCCAGGGAAAGCAGGCGAGGACAACCCAAAGCCTTGGGATCCTGCACCCTCATGGGAGACCTGGAAGAAGCTCCTCACCCCTGCCTTCGTTTCGGCATAGTTTCATGAATTGTGGCGACTTAGGGACTGAATCATGTAATGGAAGGTCTTCTTCTCTGTCTCTCCTCCTCTCTGTATCTCTTACCTTGCAATAAAAATAAATAAATCTTTCTAAAAGAATAGAAAGGAAGAAAGAAGAAAAGACAAAAGGAAGACCCTAACATCCTTGTGTCTGGGCTCAGTACAAAGGGTCCCCGTTTCATGAAAGAGTTACAGAGAGAGAGAAAATCCCCTTCTCATCACTGGTTCACTCACCATGTGGTCATCATGGCCAGAGCTGAGCTACTCTGAAGCTGGAGCCAGGAGCACCCTCCAGTTCTCTCATGTGGGTGCAGGGCCCTTGGGCCATCCTCACTGTTTTCTCAGGCCATTAGCAGGAAGTTCAATCAGAAGTGGAGCATCTGGGGGCTCAGTGTGATGGCTCAACTGGCTAAATCCTCACCTTGCAAGTGCCAGGATCCCATATGGGTGTCAGTTCATGTGTTGGCTGCTGTGCCTCCTATAAGCAGAGAGCTGGATTGGAAGTGGAGCAAGCAGGACATGAACTGGTGCCTGTATGGGATGACAGTACTCTAGGTGGAGGCTTAGTCTACTACACAGTGGCACTGGCCCCATCCACTTTGTTTTAAGAAGTGTTCTTATTTTTTAAGATTTGTTATTTTTTTTTATTATTATTATTGCTAAGGCAGATTTACAGAGAGAAGAAGAGACAGAAAAATCTTTCATCTACTGGTTTATTCAACAAGTGCTGCAATATCCAGAGCTGAGCCAATGCAAAGCCAGAAGGCAGGAGCTTCTTCCAGGTCTCCCACGTGGGTGCAGGGTCACAAGGCTTTGGGCTGTCCTCTCCTGCCTTCCCAGGCCACAGGCAGAGAGGAATGGAGGAGCTGCCACTTATTCCTGGTTCCCAGGACTGGCCTGTGCTAGGGGATGCAGGCCCAGAGACTCTTTCTAAGGCAGCTGTGTTGGCATCAGCCTTCCTTTCACTTACAACTCACTGCTTCCAAGGGGGAGCAGGAGGGCTGTGTCTTTAATGAGAAACTGCAAAGGGAAGGAGGGAGGGACAGAGGCCTCGGCCAGAATCACTCAGCCAAGGGGCTCAGCCCAGAGCAACAGATGGCTCGTGCTCACTGGAGGCACTCAACTGTCTCTCTACTTTCTTCTGGTCCTTCATCTTGAGTCCAATGTCCACCCTTTTCTCAAAGAAGTTGACCAGCACAGACTCCGGCAGGATGGAGGCCAGGATCTGCTTGAAGGAGATGCACCAGTCTGCGTCCATGGTGTTCCCAATGCGGGCAGTGGCTGTGGGGTTCTCACACTGCAGGGAGCCCATGCTGACCACTGAGTAGGAGGACATGGATATGTTGTATTTGGTTTCATCATCAGACGGGAGCTGGGAGGGTGAGCCCTGCCCCTCTCCACTGCCCCCCTCTACCACCGTCTGTCTCTCCTGTGGCACTTTTCCAAGGTGGGTGTCTCCACCAGCTTTGGTCCAGGGGTCCCCCGTGGCTGTCGGCTGGCATTCCTGTACTGGGTCCTGATGGGATTCCCTTGCAGGTGACTGAGGGTCCCCCGTGGCTGGCACTCCTGTACTGGGTTCTGAGGGGGTTCCCTTGCTGGTGACTGGGGATGCCCCATGGCTGGCGGCTGGAGCTCCTGTACTGGGCCTGAGGGGGTTCCCTTGCTGGCAGTGGGGACTCATCCTCGATGGAACTGCCCTGGTCCCTGCTGGGAGTGCCACCCGTGGGCTTCTTGACACTGGGACTGAAGAACTTCCCCACCTCACTGATGCGGAGGAGGCTGGCCACTGTGGCAATGGCGTGGTACAAGTCCTGCTCCAGGGGGTCCTCACTGAACATGTTGTATAGCGTCTTGCACAGCTCAATGAATTGCTCCTATCAAGGGGGAAGGCAGAACAAGGAGATGGTAAGATGGCCCTGGTGTTCATTCCACGCATGCTGCTGGCCACTGGAACTGGTGCCAGGATGTGGTCCTGTTTATCGGCGCCAGACCAGTGCTCTAGTCTTACTTCACACACGGGAATGTGGAGGCTCAGAGTCGGGAGGGACCTAAGCAGTCACTCTGCCCTGCCGGGCTCTCCCCCTGCAGTGGACAGCAGCTCTGAGCTGGGCTCTCTGCTCCGACATGTGGTTCTGCTGTTGGAGATGCATGGCTGTGTGAACCCGGCCTTGACCATGGCTTCCTCCCTGGGGTCTGGCCTCACCCTTGGCCTTCTAGCTCCTGGGTGAAAGCGACTTCAACTCTGACCTTCAGGGAAGCTCCCAGAGGGTGCTGCTGAGGGGGTGAGGGTGGTCTTGGGTCTCTAAACCACATCCTGGCCTGAGAGAGGGGTGAGACCACCCATTCCTCAGGCTGGAGAAGGCTTAGGCTCACAGGCTCACAGGGCCCCTCTGGGCATAGCCAGGGCCAGCCCAGCCCAAGCACTAAGGGCAGGCTGTAGTTCAGGGACTGCCTCTGGCTACTTTCTGCAGCTGAACCCAGGGGTTGCCCCTTCCTGCCTGGGAGACCCTTGGGAAGACAAAGAAGCTGCTGTCCCCAGAGAGCAGGAAGTGGAGAGCAGACAAGCCTGTGTGCACAGGGTGCCTGGGCAGGGAGTGTGAGGAAGCAGCTGTGGGGTAACCTTCCCCAGGGCTGCTCAGACCTACCACTGTCCCTCCACCTGAACAAGCGGTCCCTGTGCAAATGGCCCCTGAGCAACAAGCTCCTGACTTTCCAGAATCCTCACTGGGACTCCTGGGCGCTCAAGTGAGCTAGTGAGTAATGAGTGCCACCCTGTGTGGACCCTGGGGCGTGGTGCTGACATGGCATGCTGGGCCCCGGTGTCCCTCAGGGTTCTGCAGAGGTGTCTGCTGCAGCCTCCAGCCTGGCCCACCTGGTTCATTTTGGGCAGATCCTTGATGGTCTCCTTCTGAGCCTCTCTCTCCTTGGCCCACATGCGAAGGTAGAGTCAGTAGTCTGGGGGGCTGGTCCCCTTCTCCTCTGTGAGTCAGGAGGAAAAGACATTAATCTCGGCCTGTCATGACAGAAAGAGGGCTTGAGCTTGGGGTCAGGGGGTGGGATGGGCCCTGTTACAAAGCACCTGCATCTGGGGAGGTGCTGATGGGGAGAATGCCCTGAAGAAGGGATGGCTCAATGGGATGAGGATGGTCCTGAGGCTGTGTTCTAGGCTGTGAGAGGTTGGCCTGAGGAGGTGAGAACTTCACAGGGGACACCAGGCACCACAGGGGACAGCAGGGCCTCCAGCCAAGGTCACTGACCTTCAGGGCATGCCTGTCAACTGGGGGCCAGGCAGTGGGGGAGCTTTGCAGAAGTGACTGGGGATGGTCACAGCCCACATGAAACCCCAGACCTCAGCCCTGAGACCCTGACTGGCCGTCAGGGGAGAATGGCCTGTACCTGCTCGCTTTTCTTGGGTATCCTCGCTTCTGCTTCCTTCCCGATCTTCCTGTGGTAGTGCCTCTGCCAACCAGGAAATAACAACATGGAGCACATTCTTCTCCAGCTGGGACTGCAGCCCACCTCTGCCGAGGTCCAGCCTGTGCTTGTGCGGGAGCAGCCCCGGGTTCTGGTTCCCTGCACGGAGCCTCCTGCTTTGGCCTGACCCTGGGCTCTGCCCTCCGGCACCACCGTCAAGGAGGGCCTGGGCATTTCCCCACTTGATCACTGAAAGCAGCAGCAGCTGTATCCCACTCCGTTTTTTTTTTTTTTTGTTTTCTTTTTCCAGAGGACTACAAGTCTCCCCCATATGCAAACAGCAATGCGGTGTGATGGACAAGCCTGAGAACTGATGAATCCTGTGGTTTCGTTAGGAAAAGGTCACCTGCGTGGGATCACACCTATGACAGCTACACCAGGAGGGAAGGAACTTGACAGACATGAACCCTGTGCTCAGCACATCCGCTGGAGGAGGACCACACTGTGCGGTTCACGTGTGAACATGAACCTGGGGAGGAACAAGCTGCCCTGGTCTCCCAGGCCTGCTGCCAGAAGACAGGCGAGGACAGAAGTAGCCCAGCCCTCAACTGCCTCAGTGAGCGTGGGTGACAGTGCAGGGGCCTGGGGTGCTGTGGGGTCTGAGGTCAGGGTTCTGCACCCAGAAGCACACAGCACAAGCTTAAAGCTTCCCAGGTTGCCCAGGGTCCGTGTGTAACAGGAAGCACACCTGCTGCTTTGGCCTGTTACTGGAAGCCAAGGCCCTCCGGGTCTGTGAGCTAAGCCTTCACGGTCAGCAGGACCTGTGGGTCCTTCGACACACACACTATTTGTTTCCCCTTTGGGCCTGCCACATGACATCACAGCACAGCGTGGTCGCCAGCTGTGTCATCAAGTCCTTTCTGATTCTTAGGTGAGTTTGTAAACACCCAGTGTCTTTCAGGTTAAAGTGCAATCAGTGCCTCATACAATCCAGGGGTGTGGGGGCACGTGCTCACCTGGGGGAAGGTGCAGCTTGTAGAGCACCTTGAGCTTTTCAGTCATGTCCCCGTGGTACATCCCGCCTGTGGGAGAAGGCAGGAGGAGGGCATGATGAGAGGGGCTCCCCAGGACGGTGCAGGCTCCAGGGGGCTGGGACAGGACCTCCTCACAGCTGCAGAGGGCCCAGGAGCCAGTCCCAGGCTTCCTCAGAGTATCGCCAGGCCAGCTCAGCCTTCCCTGCGGCCAGCTGCCCCAGCCCCACAAGGGAGGGAAGGATAGACTGGCCAGGGATGCCATGGGAAAAGGCCAAGGCAGCGTCAGGCCCCTGGAGGCACTCACTTTTGTTTTAGAACCTAGTTTTAGGATGTGTGTATCTTTAAAATAGAAAGGCAGATTTACCAGAGAGAAGAAAAGGGAGAAGATTTTCCATCCATTGGTTCCCTGGCTGGAGGTAAGCTGATCTGAAGGCAGGAGCCAGGAGCCTCTTCCATGTCTCCCATGTGGCTGCAGGGTCCCAAGGCCTTGGGCCATCCTTGACTGCTTTTCCCAAGCCAGAAGCAGGGAGCTGGAAGGGAAATGGAACAGTCAGGATATAAACCAGCACCCACATAGGATCCCAGTGCATACAATGTGAGAAGGTGTGCATATAATTTAGCCACTAGACTATAAATCTTAATTTTTTTTCTTTTTTGCCTAACAGTCAACGCCAACCTAACTTGAGCCATAGTATCTTAACTTGAGTCAGTCTGATCATTTGGAAGAAAGGTTCCCTTGTCCTGGGGCTACTGAGGGGATAGCGTGTCCCTGGAGCTGCAGACAGCCACGGACTCTGCAGGAAGCGCAGTTCAGAGAACGTCAGAGGGTGAGAGAGTGTACAACACTGCATCTGAGTCCCTGGATCCAGCCAGGCCTGACACTGTCTCCCTCAACTCTGCAGTTCCTTGAGCCCATGAACTTCTGCTGTAAGCTGCCTTGTGCTTTCTAAGGGAGTGTTCTGCCTAAACTCCAACAAGGCTTAACTTCTACCACTTAGACTTCACAGCAAGTGCATGCACGGATGCTTCCAAACCCCTTCTCTTCCGGCAGGAACCTCTGTGCTGAGGATGCTCTTGGAAGACAAGGTCACAGTTACAGGTCCCGTCCCTGTTCTCGGCTCTCACCTTAAACACCATGTAAAGGTCTTCCAGCTCTTCAGTGGAGAAGCCAGTGTCCCCAGGTATGGCTCGGACCTAGAAGAAAGAGACAGGCTGGGCTGAGGGACTCTCAAGTGCCTGTTGCAGCAGGAGACAGATTGTCACAGGGACCAGGGCAAAGGCACGAGCTGCCCCTCAGTGTGGCAAGTCGGCCATCCCACTGAGGGCAGGGCCTTGCCCTGCTGGCCTCTCACCACCCAGCCTGCCACTCAGTGCAAGCTCCCTGAGGTCTGTGCCCTAGTGGGCTGAGAGTGGGGGACATGGGACATTGTTTAGTTCCTCCTGTCTGGACCTCTGCTGTGACCCAGGTGCCAGCTCTTGGGAAGGGGTCCTGAAACCACCAGCCAGCTGCTCTCAGTCAGCTGGAGCCATCCGTTTCTGTCACTTGTGACCTCAGAGTGTCTGAAAGGTTTGTGGGGGGCACTGGGGAAGTGGGAACGAGGTTGGCAGTCAAGAGACCACGAGTAGATCCTGTGGCAGGGGCACCTGCACCCATCCAGGGATGTGGAGGATGAAGGCTGGAGGCAGAGGCACGGCACGCAGGTGCTCAGAGGGCAGCTGTGGGATGCTCGGGGCGAGGGGAGGGGACATGTGGGAGACAGAGGGTGCTATGCTTTGGGGGAACGGGGCTTCAGACAGGCTTCCCACTGGCCCATCTGGGAGCAGAATAAAACGACCATGTCCTCTCCCCGCCATGCCCCTGCCTGGTTCCACATATCCTAATGTTGACACTGGTGGTGAGGCAGCAGGGGAGTGTGCATCCTGCCCCACAGACAGGCCTGAGTGGGAGCCCCCCACGCCCACATACCACACTCCTCTTGGCTGTGTCCTCCAACGACTGGATCACTTTCAGCCTGTTTAAACCGCATCTGCTCAGTGTCGCTGGCCCGCAGGCTGCTGAATTTCTGCAGGCAGGTGGGGATGATTAGGTGAGACAATGCACAGCCACGGGGTGCAGGGCTGTCACCCCCCACACCTCCCCACTGAGTGCTGACCTCATAGGAGGCTTTGAGGAGGTCAAAGATGTCTGTCTGTGTGGGAGGCTCGTCTCCACTGGTCAGCAAGGCATGGAGGTGTGGCACTGGTGGGGAAGTACTCTGCTCATTGACCACATTGTCCAGACATCTGTGTGGGGAAGGGGTCAGACATCGAGACCACTGATAGTTATGGCAGACCCTCCAGGAGGATAGAGCGTGTCCCAGCAGGTACCCTGGCAAGTCAGGGAGCTCCCCTCAGGCCTCAGCCCCTCCCTCGCATTAGGCTCTGCACATGGAAGGTGCCGGGCTATCTTTTGGGGGCTCCATGGACAAGGAGCTTGTTCAGGCCAGAAGAGTCCTGAAACCAAACAGAGGAGACAGCTGTGTCCTGTTGCCTGCTGGGGCTCGTTTCCCAGATGAGACTTTTCCATGGTGCTGCTTGCCAGTCCACAGGCTGGGCAGTGAAGTCGGCAAAGCACAGTGAGTAAATGCCATTTCATCCCAGTCCTCTGTTTCCATGACCAGGCTCCAGGTGGCCCAGCTCCTGAGGGTCAGCTCAGGGTGTCTGCACAGAGGTGGGAGTAGACAGGCCCTAGAGACCACTGGGGAATGGACTGAGGCCGACTCCCCTCACCTGCTCCCTCCCTGGCAAACAGCACCTCAGACCTGGACTTTGCAAGTGGCTGTGCCAAGCTCTCTGTGCTGCTGGGGACCGGCTTCTGCTTAGCAACCAAAGATGTCCTGACAGTTAGGCTTACCACTTCACAGGACCTCAGAGTGGGTCGCTGCAACTCTGCACCCCAGACAATGGGAAAGAGGGCAAGACAAAACAGACTTGACAAGAGCATCACACACAGGAACTGCAAGGCTCTGCTGTCACCGGGAGATTCAGAGCCACGAGCTGACTTAGGTCTCAAAGCTACTCCTGACAACACCAGAATCTGAACTTGGCCTCCTGGCTTCCAGCTGGAGGCCTGCATGAGGTGATGTTGGCCGTGGCAGATCTATGCTAAGGTGACCCCTGTCAGCAGGCCTCTGGCAGGGCTCTTTACACGCTGATGACAACATAAAGCAAGATCTGAGTTTTGCAGCACTAAATGTGCAGTGGGGCCTGTTGGGTTCCTGGGAGCAGGAACACACCCCAAGTGACTGAATGCCTTCAGCAAGGGAGCATGAGCCTGGAGAGGGCAAGGGTGGCAGGGTGTGCAGAGAGGCCAGGCCAACCTCAGTGGACCCCAGGGTGTCACGATGCCCTTTTGGCTGAGAGTTAATTTCATGAGATGAACAGGGAGCGAAGGGAGCAGGCAGAGGAAGGAGTTGACTCCACACAGGCAAGAACAGGAAGCTGAGCTTTGGGGGGTAAAAAGCTCATACTTCAACAGCTTGTGTGCTTGGTGATCACTGGGACCAAAGTGGAAGCAATATTCCCTATCACCAACCTTCTGGGGTGGCCAAGTGCCCCTGGGAGTGCCCAAGTCTGGGATGTCACGTTTGTGCAACAGCTGGGCCGACTCGGGCTCCATTTCCTGGTGGGAGGAAAGTGCTGTCAATAGTCCAGTCCTGCCAGCACAGTGCCCCGCAGCCTCCCTGGCAACCTGGCTGGCCACAGGAGGTAGGGAGCCTCCATGCAGCCACTCAGCTGCAGCCCAATGGCAGATGGGCTGTCCTGTGCTTGCCAGGCAGTTCTGCCCCACGGCTGGTCCACCTACCTCCCATGGCGCCTCAGGCGGTGTCTGCAGAGAGCTGAGCTCCTGTGCAGTCTGCAGTATCTGCTTCGCCAGTGTAAACCTCCTGCCCCGGTCAACACCCCTAAGCCCCTACCCCTTGAGGTCACCGTGTGAGCTGCTCACAGAGTTCAGCAAGCATCCCTGTGTCAGCAAGCAGCGCCTGTCTCATCAGTCCCCACCTGAGCCTCCTGGAGGGCACTGGGTACAGCCTGGCACCTTTTTCTGGGCAGCTCCTGACTGAAGGGAGGGTCTGACTCCTCCATGTCGGATGAGGAATGTCCATGGAAACACATTCCTCCTCCCAGCTCCAGTTCCGGGGAGTCCTTGTGCAGAAACTTCAGCCAGCGGCTCTCAGAGGGCTGTGTTGGGAAGAACAGGAAAGCAAGCCCTTTGACTGCAGCTCTCACACCCAGGGCTCAGGGATGGTGCCTGCTGGCGAGGCCTTGGAGAGGCAGCAGAACCCCCGAACGTCCATGCTCCCTGACCCAGTGACCCCACACAGACAACAAAGGCACAGAAATACTCGTGGTGCTGTAGACACCATTGTTTAGAATTTTTGGAGACAGGGCCCGGCGCGGTGGCACAAGTGGTTAAGGTCCTCGCCTTGCACGCCCGGGGATCCCATATGGGCACCGGTTCTAGCCCGGCAGCCCCGCTTCCCTTCCAGCTCCCTGCCTGTGGCCTGGGAAAGCAGTCGAGGATGGCCCAAAGCTTTGGGACCCTGCACCCGCGTGGGAGACCCGGAAGAGTCTCCTGGCTTTGAATCGGCATAGCATCGGCCCTTGCGCTCACTTAGGGAGTGAATCATCGGACGGAAGATCTTCCTCTCTGTCTATCCTCTCTATATATCCGCCTTTCCAATACAAAACATAATAAAAATAAATCTTTAAAAAAGAGAAAAATTTTCCATCTGCTTGTTCCCTCCCTACATGGTTGCAATGGCTAGCGCTAAGCCAACCCAAAGCCAGGAGCCAGGACTTTCCTCTGGACATCCTAAGGTTTTGAGCCATCCTCTACTGCTTTCCCAGGGCATAAGCAGGGATTTAATGGAAAGTGGAGCAGCCAGGACACGAACTGGCATGCATGTGGAATCCAATGTGTGTGGGGCGAGGATTTAGCCACTGAACCATCATTCTGTGCCCAAGGATTTATATTTATTTTCACTTGAAGATCAGAGTCACAGAGAGAAACAGACCTTCGATGTGCTGATTCATTCCCCAAACGGCTCTAATGGCTGGGACTGAGCTGCTCCAAAGCCGGGAGCTAGGAGCCTCTTCTGGGTTTCCCATGTAGTGCAGGGAACCAGGTAGCCACTTTCACATGTCATAGGCAGGGAGCCGGGTGGAAAGTGAAGCAGCCGGGACATGAACTGGCGCTCATATGGGATGCCATCGCTGCAGAGGCTTAGCCTACTTTGTCATGGTGCTGGCCTTTTTTAATCAATCTTTACATCACACTGTATGAATCCTCCAACTTTGATTTTTATCAACACTAATTAGATGATTCCTTGTCTTTTGTATTTCTATATAAGTTTCAGGATTAGTTCGTTCTTTTCTTATTTACTTACTTGAAAGTCAGAGAGAGAGAGAGATTTGTTCCCTCTGCTGGTTCACTGCACACATGGCCATAATAGTCAGGACTCAGCCAGGATTAAGTCAGGGGCAAGGAGGTTCATATGGTTCTCCAATGAGGGTGGCAGGGGGCCATGCATGGACCCATTGGTAAGCGCGAAACCTGCATCAGGAGGGGATCTGAGGGAGGAGCCTGAGCAACTCCTCTGACACGACACGGATCCCACAAATAAGCCCAAGAAGCATGGAAGGAAACAGCCCAGAAGATGTCATGGAAAGTTTCCTACTGGCATACGCTTGGCATGGGTTAGGGGCAGACCAGGCTGAAACAGCTCGCATCATCCACTGGCAAACCCGAACGCCAGAGCAGAGTGTGGGTCGAGCCAGGTTCAGTTGTGACAAAAGCAGTACACAACTTAGAGTGGCAAGGTGAGGCTGCCTGTGCTGGATGTGACCGCAGCACTCAACCAGCACACATGAGAAAAGGAAGGGAGGGGCAGACCCGCAGGGGAGTAAGGGGTGGTTCCCTTGCTGGATAGCTACTCCCACTGGAGAGCATGAGCTGGGATGTGAATAGACCAGACTAGGCAGGGCTGCAGCACCTGTGCGCCTCATGGGGACCAGATCAGGGAAGAGCCAGGATGGGCAGACTATTCCTACTAGTGCTAACAAAACTAGAGGGGGCGAGAGCTGTCAGGGCTTAACCAGAGCAGAAGCTGGCACTAGGGGTTAATATTGTCAAGTCCAACCACAGGGCCACCTGGGGAGAGCATAATCCGGGAGTGAGAGTGACCTGGGAAGGAAATAGTGGGCTCCTCCCTCTTGGGTTACCACTCCACGGGAGGGCACAAAATAACTAGGACAGGGGCTGGGTGGCTAGACAAATAGGCACTCAACAACATCCGTGAGGGCTGGACAGTTTAGCTGGTTGGATGGAACTAAGCTCCAATACCCTTCGACATTTATGAGAGCCAAATGGGATATGGGGCAGACTAAATTAATCTGCTACACATACTGCTGCAAATCACGGCAGGGGTGGGGGTGACTGGGGGTCGCTCTGACTAGGCTGCAGCTCCCATTGCTATGTGTGATGACCGAGTGAGTATGTGATGAGCAGAACCAGGATGGACTACAACACCCATTGGTTCCAGTGGAAGTCAGGGCTGAAGACGGAACCAGCCCAGCAATTGCAACCACCAGCTGATTGGGGAGGTGGACTGTGCCAGGTCCTGTACTTGCTAGTGCTTATAGGAATCTGGTCTGGGAACACCTCAAGGTTTCTTTGGGGATCCCCTCAACTGAAATGGTGGACTCAGAACCTTTACCAAGAATAAGACGGAAGATACAACAGGTCAATCAACCACCACAGCTACATGTTGGCAGCGAAACACTGGATGAAGGGAGATTCTATGATGGGCTATGTCAATCAGTACATTATTCAACAGCCTCATCGTGTCTGGAGTGGTAAGACTGGCAGCAATGCATAACTGGTGCGCTGCTGGGACCACTTGAGCAAGGATCTCGGAATATGCCCTACATCTGGGACCTGGGGTGGGTGGGAGACTGGGTGGGGCTTCTCCTCAATATTCCCTTTAGCCCTTGTAACTTTTTACCCTAATCAACAATGTAAAGAGTGCCAAAATAAAATTTAAAAAGAAAAAAAAAAGATTCATCACATCTTCTGCAATTACTTCCTGCTGCTCATGGACATGAGCCTTGCCTGGTCTCGGTTTGGAAATCTCTGTGTCATTAATGGGTCTATCTCAGGAGCCAGAGAATTTCCAGTCAGTGCCAATGGCTATGTCCGCAGCATGGTCCTCATTACTCTGCAAAGTTGCTGGATTCTTTTTGCCTTTAGGAGAGGTATTTAAGGTCCTGGTTCACTGGACTAGCCTGGCTTATCTTTTGTATGTTCCTGAGTAAATTCCTCCCTCTTGCAGAAGAGCCTGCCAAGGCAGTGTCCCACATGCAGCTGTGTACACTGAGGTCAGGGCACATCCCAAAGATCTGGCCCTGAGATCAGAGTCCTCTGGCACCAGAAGCCAACTGAGCAGGAAGCCCAGGGCTGCCTACCGATGCCAAAGCCATCAGTGGGACCACGAGCAAAGCAGATCATGGCAGGGATTCCTGGAA